AAGATCTTAATCTTGAGTGGTATACCAGCCTTCCAAAGCCCCCTAGCTATGTCCAAGGCGTTTCCCTCCGTCAACTTGGAGTACAAGGATTTTACCGAGAATTTATGGGACGCGGACAGGCCCCAGGTGACCAAATCAGCCCCCGAGCTTTGTCTGTTTCCGATTTTGGCCACCAGCTCGTCCCAACTCGCCGCTTCCAGCGAAGAGAGGCATCGCATAAAGTTTATTGCCGGCGGTGAGGTACTAAGGGCATCACCCACCATCATGTTAGTGTCCGTGGCTAATTGGGAGAGCAGATGATAGGATTGCTATAGCGGCCTCACATCTAACCAGTTATCTAGCCAAAACCAAGTGGACATGCCGTTATTAATATCAAAATGGGCCCCTACCGAAAATGCCGGTCGGATCGCTTGGATCCCGTTTCAAAACGCCGAGCCCGAAGGTGTCGCCTTAAACAGATTTCCATCCTGGAAGTATTTTGCCTGTAGGGGATCCGCCTAGAGCCCCGACTCGTTTTGGGCAGGCGCCACCACCACTTGGTGAGAAGGGCTACATTCATAAGCTTGGAATTGGTAATCCCCAAGCCTCCAAATTTTTTTGGCCTACACACCGCCGCCCACTTGACCAAGTGATATTTCCGTTTGATTCCAGTTCCTTCCCAAAAGAAACTGGAGCGAGGGGTGTCTAACTTCAAGTGGACCCCACCCACCAGAAGAAACATTCCCATGGTGAAAAGAGGGAGGGAGGAGAGGCTAGAATTAGTAAGAATCAGCCTAGCCGCCGAAGACATAAACCTCCCTCGCCACGGGCTAACCCTATTAGCCACCTTGCCATAGAGTGGCTCCCACTTGGAGATCTTAAGTTTTCGATGGGAAATCGGAAGGCCGAGGTACTTAATCGGAAAGCCCCCAAGCTTGCAATTAAGTAAGTTAGCAACATCGCCTACTCTCTTGTTGTCCCATCCCTATGGTGATTACCTCACTTTTTAGAAAGTTTATTTTAAGCCCGGAAAGGAGCTCAAAAGCAATTAACAGCAAATGCGATACTATGGTTATCAGGCTCGAGGAGAAGCAGTCGTCTGCGTATTGCAGGTGGTTCACCCCTCCTGGAATGAGGTGGGCCACTAACCCTTTGATGTGCCCAACCGCTCTGGCCTTGGCGAGCATTGCCGACAGGGCGTCCCCAACGAAATTGATGATGAGCGGTGAGCTAGGGAAACCTTGGTGAAGGCCCCTTTTGTTGCGGAAGAACTTGCCCACCTCACCGTTAATCGTAACCGCCGTTTGTCCGCAGCTGACGAGGTGCATGATAAGGTGAATAAAGCCTGCCTCAAAGCCCTTTTTGAGGAGAACCCCCCGAACGAACTCCCAGTTCACTCGGTTGTAGGCTTTTTCGAAGTCGAGCTTAAGCATTACACCCTTCCCCTTGGTACGCTTTAGCTCATGAACTATCTCAAGGAGCGCGATCGGTCCCTCCAGAATATTGCTTCCCTTAAGAAAGGCGGTTTGGCTTTTTAGGATCACTTCTTGTGCAATTGGCGCCAGACGTGTGGTGTACGCCTTAGCTTATAGCGTGAACGGGACGTTAATAAGAGTGATAGGCCTAAACAACTTAATATTGTCCGCGCCCTTAACCTTAGGGATAAGACTGATAGCGCCGTAGTTAAGGCGGGACAGGTCCACCGTTCCTAATGCAGTAGAAGATATGCTTAAGGGTGGGCCAAAACTTTTTAAAGAACTCCACAGTCCAGCCATCGGGGCCCGGCGCCGTGTCCGTCTTCATATCTGCCAAGCCATTATCCGAATTAAGACGCAAAATAGAGCATTTACGCTTCCGACCATTCGCATACGTGTGAAAATAGCTAGTATTCGCATCTCCCTTAGAAACCCATTTCACGCCGCCCCTATGACGCCAATATTCTTCTTCTACTCTCAGAATAGCGAGAACTCATATCTATGTGCCCACTCGCTTTCGGAAAAGGGTCTGGCATCGGCTTGTATATCCAGCACCGCAATCTCCTCTACAAGTCTAGCCCGCTCCTTCTTGGATTCACTTCCGTGGTTAGCCCCCCATCCACGTAGATAAGCGCGTAGAATGGCAGCCGCGGCAGTCCAGATCTCCGCCGGGCCATGTTGGTACCCTAACTGCGACAGAATGAGCGACCACCGCTCATTAACCATGTGCTCGAAGCCCTCTGCCTCGAACCATGCTGTTTCAAAGTAGAACCTACTGCTACGACGAATGGATTCCTCTCCGGAGGAGAGAATGAGGGGGAGATGGCCGGATCCTATCCGTGTCTCCGCCACCAAGGAGCAAAGGGGAAAGAGAGCTTCCCACTCAGGTGTGAAGAAAACTCGGTCGAGAACGCTGTGAACAGGTCGCAATTGCTTGTTAGTCCAGGTATACCTAGGTATACCTAGCTCCTGTACGCACAGCTTCTCGCAGCAATCACGTTGTTGAACATGGACACCCTAGCCCAGTCAACATTGTCGTTGTTCTTCTCCGCCCCCGAGCGGATCAAGTTAAAATCCCCACCCACGATCCAAGGGAGGTTGGCCGCTCGTTTGGCCCCGACCAAATCTGTGAGCTCAGACAGAAACTCGGCTGATCTCGCATGGTCCGCCGGGCCGTACACACATACAATCACCCAAGACAGCCCGGAAACATGGTGTCGAATGGTAGCAGCAATAAAGAACACACCACACTCCCACACAGTTACATCAGATGCATCACTATTACAACCCATTAAGAGGCCACCCGAGTGACTGGTGGAGGGCACCCATTGCCAATGAAAACGCTGAAGCGGGTTGAGCACAAGTAGATCTCTGAAAGTAAAGTCTGCTTTAATCGTCTCTTGCAACGCCATTACATCGATACACTCTTTAGCCATGTACTCTCTAAGCTGCGTGCGACGCCCTACATGACCGCAGCCCCGGATATTCCAAAATATATAGCGCATTAAATAATACGGTTTTGAAGGCGAACTCCTCTAGAGCTCACCGCTTTTGCCACGCTCTTCCTAGCCTGGGCACGGCTGGAAGAAGGAATAGCAGAGGCCTCCCTCTCCTCTGCTTCCCCATCAGGCACAGGTCCAGCAACAGCCCCAACTGGTGCCATGGACCCATCTGGTGCTGCCGCACACCTAGCAGCAGCCTCGGCAAGCGCGGCCTGGGCCTCCTCGCATGCACGTGCAAGGGATATGATATCGCCGTTACTAACCGTCACCGCAATGCCACTATCGCTCAAAAACGAAGCCAGGTGCTCATCCGGAAAGGCGTTCAAAATCCTGAAAGAGGGCAGCGGGTTACCTGAGGCTTTTCCATGTTCTTGTTGGCGAGGCGGGGCTTGACGCTTTCCATGGAAGTCATGTCGCTCAGCTTGGCCTTGGCCCGGACGCTGGGCGCATGCTGCACCACTGGAGTCGCCTTGGAGCGCTTGGCCTTGGCACCTGTCCCCGCCGCCCCGAGCTCGCCCCGTAAGGTCGTTGCCGGTTCAGGGGCCAGAGAGGCCGCCCCCTTGGGCACAGGCTTCCTCCCCGCCGTGGCGCCGTCTTCTTGGGCTGCCTGCCCGAGCCACTCGAGCCGCACCGTCCAGATGCAGGCGTCATGTCGGACCCCTCGTTCAGAACGCAGCCGGAGTCCAAACCCACTGCCATAGGGGAAGAGGGCATGAGGGACCTCCCCTCCTTACCCCTTGGTGATTCCACCACCATTGGATCGGAGGCCAGCTTCGGGACCGGCAGTGACAGGTTGGAGCCATACTCATCAAAAGCTCCAGCCAGGGCGCAGGCCAGCAGTGGAACACTCACCGCCGTATCTTGGGTTGCCACCACCAGAGCCTGCCTCTCGGAGCGCCCAGCTTGTCCCATGTTTCAGTGTCAATGGACGTGTCCTGGATACTGTCCTCAAGCTCGTCCTCCTGCACCCCCATATCCACATCGATATTCTCAGCGACGCCATGGTTCCCACCAGCAGCATCTTTATCCTTTCCGGGAGTGCCACCGCTATGCTTGCTGTTACCGCCCGGGGGAGGGAACAGCCTGACTTGTCAGCATTGCTTGGGGGTTGTTTGTCCGAGGGGCCGGGCCCCTGAGCACCACCGTCACCCCCGCGCTTGGGCTAGCTTTCGAGCTCCACCTTGATCTGATAACCCTCATGGTTAAACCAAACTTCCACGACGCCGTTGAGCTTCTCCGGTGCTTTACATGCAAGCTTCATTCTCACAGGTCCCAACCTAATGAGAGAGAGCTCGTCGACCACAATCGGACGACCCAATATCTTAAGCCCCTCCATGATACGCTCCACTCTGCGGTGTTTCTTGGGGCATCACCATAGGCTGAATCTCTTCATGCAGCATGTTACGCACCCTAGTCGTGATATCATTGATCGGAAGGAACAACTGCGAGGAGATGAACGGCTCCAGGTCCTTGGACGCCGACGTCTGTGTGTATGACAATAGGAGCATGGGGATATGGTCTCTCATCACATCTGCCTTCTCCAGTGGTGCTACGTCCTGGTCAGATTTGATCATCGAGTAGCCGCTTGAGGTACCAAAATACCCGCTATTGACAGTTAAGGCTAAAAATTACAACTCAAAAAAGATGAGGGGCGAAACCTACACAACCTGATTAAGTTGAGGGACGAAATATACACCTATATTTTTCTAAGAGTATCAGGTAGATCTTTGTCTTCTCAAAGGCTTGACATTATCTTTCTTGAACCCTTGGAAGTTATCTTTCTTGACCCTTAGAGACTAAGAGTTTCGTGGTTCTGGCGCTAAGAAAGTGCATTGTAATTTAGGCTCAGTTTGCGGTGTAACTGTGCTAATGTTGAATTTATTATTGTATAATCTGATATGGAGAAGTAGCCACAAAATAGGAAAAAACTGGTTAGTCAAACGATAAAAGGAGAATGGACATGCATTGCCAAATTTATCCTTAGTGTTGAGCGTTATGATGAATTCTATCTTATGGTTATTCTTGCCTTGAAAATTTGTTGCAGGTTGTAAAGAGTTTCTCATCTGGTAAACGGGAAGGAGGAGATTTTGTTGCAGCTTCAGTTTCACCAAAAGGAGAATGGATATATTGTGTTGGTGAAGACATGTGAGGACATTATGTTTATTGCTAATTGCTACATTCATTCATGCTGCTTCTGAGTTTCTTGATGATGATCCAGAGTTTTTCTACTTATCTTGTAGGAATATGTATTGCTTTAGTCATCAGTCCGGTAAACTTGAGCATCTAATGAAGGTTTGTAGGATTTATCAAATGGAAATCTTTACCTGGTTGTGTTACACTGATTTTTATTGAAATGCTAAAAAACACCTTGACACCGTTTCAGGTCCATGACAAGGATGTGATTGGCATTACTCACCACCCTCACAGGAACTTGGTTGCCACCTATGCCGAAGATTGTATGATGAAGATATGGAAGCCTTAAGGATGTGATTGGCATTACTCACCACCCTCACAGGAACTTGGTTGCCACCTATGCCGAAGATTGTATGATGAAGATATGGAAGCCTTAATTACATTCATTCATTTCCAGTTTTATTAATCTGAGTAGTATTTTAGAGGATGCATTTGGTTCTTGTAATAGTCGTACTGTAGCATATATAAAACCAGTTGGAGTGATTGATCATCAAACACATTAAGCTACGGAGAATGGCGGCCAATCAGCATGGCCATGTGGCGCATGCTGGTTGGCCGTGGCAAAAAACATTTTGATTTCTTTTGGAAGACACATTAAGCTACGGGAGAATGGCGGCCAACCAGCATGGCCATGTGGCGCATGCTGGTTGGTTGTGGCAAAAGCATTTTGATTTTTTTGGAAGATGAAATTGAGGAACTTTTTGTTGTTTTTTGGAAGATGAAATTGAGACTTTTTTTTTCTATTAAGAAAAGTTTTTTTGAGATTATTTTTGAAAGATGAAAGTGAGACTTTTGTTTCTTTTTCATTTTAAGAATGTTTTTTTAGGTTTTTCCTTTTTCTTTTTCAGATGGATGTGATGTTCACATGTTGTGAGAAAGTTTTCTTTTTAATTTTAAGATGAAAGTTTTCTTTTTAATTTTAGGTGTTTTCTTTGAGAGGGAGAAATACATGCACAATTTTCTCTAAGAGGTCTGCAATGGCGGGCCTCAACTACTAGTATCATTGTATATTATGGATAAAAAAAGAAGCTAGGCTGGCTTTGACGTGTCCCATTGTTGCAACACTCAATCAAACAACTCAAATGCTTGGAAAAAGACTGGATGCAGGTTGCCTTCCCAACTAGCCGTGCGTGTCTTTGGAGCATCTACAGCTGGGGTGCACTAATTGGATTTTGGACCCCCAAACGTCCGGTCAGTGTCACCTTCCCCTTTCCTGCAAAATAACCACATTCTCTCTGCATGCGACATATCATCAAACACATTATGTGCATGCACGTCGGCGACAATAGTTAGCGGCGCACTGTAGGTGGAGGCCAAGGGAAGGAGAGCCGGCAGCGTGCTCGCAAGCTCGGGCGTGCGGTGACCATGCGCCAGAAGTCAAGGTTGCATCGCGGCCGTGCCGTTCACGCAGTGCCCGGCGAACGAGCACACACGTGGCGGGATGCAGGCGTCTGCGGTAGCCAGCACGCATGCAAGTAGCCAATCACACCTGCGGACGTTGATGCTGCTGCGCATGCATCTGGCTGTGCGATATGCAGGCACGCGAGCCCCTGTCCTGCCAGACGCCCCCGACGACTACCACCACCAATCGTCGACGCAACCCTTCCCTCCTAGACTGTGTGGGTTGGCCATCGACTGGTACGTGTGGCCGAGCGAGGGCCTATGGGAGGGGTTGGTCATGCACGCGCTACAGCGTGACCTCCTCGGCAACTTTCCTAAGCTTCTAGGTCTTCTCCTTCCTCCCGCAGCTTAGCAAAGTTTGACTTCCCCCGCCAGTGGAGCAAGCTCGTCTTGCTATGCTGTGGATCGGGCATCTCTCTTGGAACCCTAGCGACAATGGGAGGCGGCACAGGGACCGGCACCAAGCAGCATGACCTCATGTGGTCAGTCAAGGAGGTGGACCACCTTGTTGTGGAACGAGTGACATGCCATGGGCATGTCAGCAATGAACAATAATGGTGACATACCGCCACTCCTTCTCCTGACTGTTCGCACACGAACACGTCACCGCATACCCTCGACGTCGAACGCGATACGCAGGACATGTCGCCGAAGGAGGCTCACCGAAAGCGCGATACGCAAGACAATCCGGCGAGCTCTTTTGAAGACCCGAAACCCCGCACGCCCGGGAGGGACCCCGTCTGGACGCGCGGCGGCTATGGGTTGCACTAGGTCGACCTGATCGCCCCTAGGGGCTCGAGGTTCGCCGCCCTGCAACAAGAAGAGCAGACGAAGAACGAGGAAGAAGAACTAGGGTTAAGGAGAAAAGCTAAAAGATAAAGAGTGGTAGATGATTTGTTCGATTGTGTGTTGTTGTTCAATCGGCCGTCACCTTTTATCTATATAAGAGGTGGATGGACTCCCCGTACAAGAAAAGGACTTGCCTTGCCGTCCAAATCATCAAAACCTAATAAAACACGGAGTACTCACGCCCTTCGGCCCGGATGATCCGGCCTAGCCCAGTTTTCTGACAGCAGCTCACTAATCGGGCTGTAACTTTTGCATATAAACTCGGATTAAGATGATTTTTATATCAAAATCAACCGCCTCGATGAGACGCACAACTTTTCTGTTGAACGCCTTTTGATGTGAGGTCATATTGAGGGAGTTTCGTGCTGTTTTCTAACATCTGCAGCAGAAAAAACTGCCCAGACGCCCGGACTTCTACCCGGACTGTCCAGCCTCCATCCGGATCATCCCGGACTGTACCCAGATCATCCGGCTTCAGCACCAACCTTCTGGTGTCTTTGTGCTTCAATTACCCGGATGATCCGGACCCCGGCCCGGATGATCCGGCCAAACATTATTGTAGCGCACGGTTTTGCCTGTAACTTTTACATACGACCTCAGATGGGGACGATTTTTATATCAGAATCGTCCGCTTCGACGAGACGAAGAACTTTTCAGTTGTAACTTTTTCCATCCGAGGCCTTCTTCATCGGGTTTCATGCCATTCTTTAATCTGGTGTCAACACGGGTATCTCCGAAATTGTCATATCTTTTGCACTTGAGCTCCGTTTTGGTTCATCTTCATATTTATTTCGATCATCTTTACGAGAGCCATTAAATGGTGACATGAACTCATAATTTTAACCTAATTCCATTATAGAATCAAGTCACTCTTTGCCATCATGCCATTTTTGAGCGTCAACACATACCCCCCTGTTTTTTGGCAAAGGTAGTATGCCGAAAAATAACTTGTACCGTGTTGGTTCTAAGGACGATGTCAACACTCCATCGGGCACTTTGCATGTGCTTGGTTGATAAATATATATCGGCCATTATTTCTTTGAATCCTTGATGCAAAATTGGGTGAAACCTTCTCAACTTCCTTAACAATCCGATGATAAAGCTCCATATATATGTATCTCAAGGTCATCCTCTGAATCATATTATTCACCCTTTTGCTAGGGTTTTGGAGATAATCAACAATAAACTTTCTCCGATCCTTAATTTCGCCTGCATAAAAAATATTCATTAGTGGCCGAAGCGGTGGACTTCGGTTCGGCCTTACCTCTGTTGACGAAACTAAGCATCGGCTATTGACATAAATGCAATACACCATGATTAGCATAGTAGCCAGATGCTTGCTGTGCCAACTCTCTTGAATTCTCATGTCTAGAAATATGAACAATTTTAAAGGAACCCAATGTAAATTTTGCATCTAGACATAGCTCAAGATAAACTATAAGTGATTCGTCAAAACATTCATAAGTCTTGGATATTTGTTGTACTACTCATAACGAATCACCCAAAGCCTCAATATGTATAGCACCTATGGCAACCAAAAGCTCCAAACCAAATAAAATTTCATATTCGGCTTTTATTATTGTGCAAAAATATTTGAAGTGGTATGAGGCTTGTTTTGGTATCCTATTGAACTAAGGACGATGTTAGGATACTACACCGACCATGCATTGACATAATCTTAGGACGATAGATAAATATCGGCCATTACCATGTAAACTTCATTCAAAGCACATATAGCCTAAATAAACAAATGAAATGACAAATCAAGTATTTCGGCCCTTTGGATCAGCAACAAACTTGTAGCTAATCAAATGTATAGTGATTTGGCAATACCCTTTCATGATGTAAGAAATTATATTGCATCCATGGATTAAAATAAGCCCATTGAGGGTTACCAATCATACCTAATGACGAATTCCATGGCATAGGCGTTAATGGCATAGTTGAAGAATATGGATAATGTGTAGACCAAAGATGTTGAAACCTTCGGCTTGGTCATTCGTAGTTTTCACTCTTTTCCTTCTTCACCTTTGCCGCACTTCTTGTAATGGAAGCTTGCACATAATTCTTATTTTGAGCACTTTCTTTGGGAACCCATGCCATGTTCCTTTCTTCAAGTTCTTGTGCACTAAGTTTTTGTAATTTCTTCTTTTGCCAATACGATAAGCCGAGCGGGCATCTCGGCTGTGATTCTGTTTTGACCAATGGTAATTCCTTTTTGGCTTTGTGCACTCTCAAATTCTTTTCTTCATATTTGACACTTCGACTCTCAATAATTGGTTGCTTTGTCTCATTGCCATTAGTAGCCAATGTCAACACTTTAATTGGCTCTTTTTCATTTGAGATCAAATTTGAAATTGCACTCTTACGACCATCTCTTTTAATGCGATAAACCTGCTTGACCACCTCTTTCTTCTTCCTTGAGCTCTGGACCAATTCCTTATGATTGAAACGGTCTTTGACGCGTGATTGTTCAAATGTTGATCTTCTTTGAGCTGCATAGTATTGGTGAGATGGTCTAGAATAAGATGGAGAATGTGCCCTTGTATCATACCTGTCCCATGATGAATATGTATCTATATGAGCATAGGGATGCATCCACGGCATTGGCATTGGCGGCCCAAAATAAGGATATGAATATGTTGCATTAAAATTATCACTTTGCCAATACCAATCCTCATATTTGCGCCTTGGGGGTGATCTTGGTTTCTTTGCATGATTTGGCCGATAAGCATTCTTCTCTTCACTCTTCTTTTGATATTTATCCAATAGTTTAGCGAAGGTGATTTTTGATCTCTTACACTTGCGCTTATTCCGACCTTTGTTTTCTTTTGGTTTGCTGTCATCGATCATTGGATTTGCTTGCTTCCCCCAGTACTTGGTATCTCCATTGTAGCTTCGATGGAATTCTCACCCTCAAGATTATGTTCATTATGCTCTTCAACAACTTCTTTACTTGAAAGCTTGATCCCACCACCTGTAGTTTTTACCTTCTCTTCAAATGTATCGGCTTGAAGCAACCGATGCAAAAACTTTTTGTCATCGGGACCAATCGGAATAGACTAATCATCTCTTGGTGTTTCAACAAACTTCAATCGTCCTTTTTCAATGGCCGATTTAACTATTTGACGGAACATGTTCCAATCCTCAAAATTA